ACTGGTGGAAAGATCCAAACGACGAGGTCTTGGCTTTATACTTTACTGTGCGTGATTGTATGTATGCGTGTTTGCCAGCCAATAACTTATTGTGTATATATGTATGTCCTATTTATACCTATTTATCTTGGCCGTAACCTTCACTCCTTGCAGCAAGGTGGCACTGTCTACATCATTCATCATGTATTTTTGCACATGATGGAAATACATATATAATTGAAATATTTAAATATGAATTAATCAAGGTATATACATCAGTAGACCTACCAATCCTTGTTTTTTTTTTTGACTTGGCTAATGCTTTTACTGAATTGTCAGCTAACATCATATTACACTACAGTCACTGCCTCATCAACACTAAAACCTGGTTTTTGTTCTGTTTAAATGATAACACTAACACACACGCATAAAACACCTATGAGATTGCTACACTGAACAACCATATATTTCTATTTCTCTTTTTTTGTTTTATATAATGTATAACAGCACAACAAGCATTTAATGAACTGATTTAACAATTGAACACTTTCTTGTCAGTGCCAAGTACCAATACCAGAACAGAAACTGCCATCTTTGCAGGCTATGGTAACACACTAAAGTCCTCTCTAACGTTCTTGAAATAAGCCTGTGTAATAATTCCCAAATAAACTATTTTGAATGCTCTTCTTGTTTTCAGTTACATACTTAGGGCAGCTTATAGATTTGTCCACTTGCTTTGGGCTCGTCATATTTAAATCAAAACTCAACATTTGTTTATTGTTTATTTTCAAATAACAATGCTTATAATGGAATCTACAAATCAAGGGTTAGATTTGAATATATTTGAAGGTCAGTTTTGGTTTGTCTGTTGTTACTTCCTAGACCGAAGCTCAGATGGACATTCATCTCAGCTGCTCGAATGAAGCAACTCTTTTTAATTTTAGGACATTTGTTTTGTACAGACTGATTGCAGCTCGTCCACAATTACAATCTTCTCCTAACCGTTGCTGTTTTATCTCGTTAGTGTGTTTTGCCTTGTGTGAATTTTGAGCCTGTGTATGACCCGTAGTTGTACTTCTGTTAGTAGATTTCTGCATGCAAGAAATATTGCTGATAATGATTTTTGGTGCTTCCTTATCAAATATTTTTAGTGAGTTTTTAAATCAATTTAAAGGCAGGATTTAAACTCTTGCCACCTACTGATGATGTAGATGAATGACCTCCCAATCACTGTACAGTTCTCCCATCCAGCTCCTCTGCTCTAATTGGTTGGTCTGTTTGTTACTGGGTGTCCTTTTTTGCTACAAGGGAAATAAAAATGCACAGAATGTTTTTTTTTACCTAGTGTGTACAGTTTGCTAACAGTGTAAATGTGTCTGTAAATAAAAATGAAAAAGCAAAAGGCAATTTGATGATTGAGGCGGCTTACGATTTGTATCATGTATAAATAAAGTTATAATTTCAAAATGTATTTCTTGTGTTTTATTAATTTGTTTCATTTTTGCAATGTCAGTTGCAGGCTATATTATCATCAATGTTATAATTTATATTTATTTATATAAGATGAGTTAGCCCCAACTGAATGCCGTAGCACAGCAGTCCCCAACCCTTTGTGTAGATAATACCATGATGAGTTAGCCCCAACTGAATGCCGTAAGCACAGCGGTCCCCAACCCTTTGTGTACGAAGGACAGATAATACCAGGCTGCAGTTGAAAACTTTTTCGAAAAAAAACAAACAAACAAAAAAAAACTGTAGCGACTTAAATCTTAAGAGCCACTGAGAATGGGCCCAGATGCCAAACAAAAGAAAACCACATTCATGGCTTTTGGACTTTATTCTGTTAGTATCAGTGTCTGAATGACCTATTGTTTTTTAAACGTCTTTCAATGAAAAATGTAAATGGATATGACAGGATTTTTTTTATTTTTAATGTAAATGGATATGACAGGATTTTTTTATTTTTATTTTGTGAATAAGTAAAAGTGAAGTACATTTTTTTTCACTGTCCTACTGCTACAGGGTACCAAATGACCAATCGTCCAGCACCAGTCCCTGGACAAGGGGTTGGAGACCCTTATGGTAGATGTATTGTGGAAAATTATTACTTTTTATTTAATCCTTCTGAAAACTATTATTTATTAAATGCTAGAAATTGTCTTCGTTTTCTTTATGTGACAGGGACAGAACAATTAATGACTCTTAATGACTAAAAGATTGTATTTCATATCACATTGTGTGCCGTGTTTTATATAATGTAAAATATGTGCCTTGGCTAAACATGTTCACCGGAAGTGAACATGCGCTAACTACAACCAGCTGTTTTGATATTGACATTACATTGATTGATTCAATGCAAAATTTGGAACAATTGGTTTTTCATTTTAAATCAAAAAGTTGTGAATCACTCTTTTACAGCAGAGGAAAAAAGTTGACGCCTTTGTTTGCACTTTTCTCTGTCGCTTACCGTGTGTTTCTCACTGATTCCCAGTTTAACTCATGCCTCAGAATCCCTACGTACTGCGCATGTCCGCTTCCCGGTGTCCGATGTCACTCGTTCAGTGTGCAGCTGTTGTTGAGATCATTGAGCATAGACGTGACGTTTCAGAGACTAAGACTAAGCACATCAGCAGTACCTGAACCGAGCCCGAACACGCACTTTGTACCACGGACGTGAGAAACGGATACGATAGAAAGCAGAAGCCGCTAAGGTACCGATGCTTACAAAGCTAATGTAGGCTAACAGACTTAAGTAACAGCTGTTGGATAACACTGGATAACAGACTAACGGACAGGCCCATGTGCAGCACGCTGTCTCGTTTTCAACCGCTCTGACCCGGGTCAGTTCCACCTGCTTGGACCCCGGTGTATCCACTGAAGCTGATCCGAGTGTAGATTCGTAAAGAAAAAGGAGGAGGAATTGGCAGCAGGAGCCGACATGTTGATAGGTAAAGTTTAATGTCACTTAATTAACTCGTGTGAAATGCCATTGCTATCAATGTTGAACATGTCTAACACGGTCTTGCTACTTGTCTGCCACTGTATTCGAACCAGCAAGTGTATAAATACTCCGAGATAATTTCAATGTCAAATGTCAAATATTGGGTCATCCATTTAAAGAAAATGGTACGATGAAATATGTTAAATTAGAAAAACGTACACAATAAGGTACATTGTAACATTGTCTTGAACAACAATGGCGTTGGAGTGTTGTTGTTAGTTCACAGCACACTTGCACAACAAACAGTAACTGCTTGCTTGACCATTATTTAGGATCAAGAAGGGAAAAAGAATGTAAGCCTCTTCCACAGACACCCTTTACTTTAGTTTAACGATTTTAGTGATGATCTGTGGAATAATTTTAGATTTTTTTTTTGTCTTTGTCTATTTCAAGTGTTTGTTTTCTGTTTGTGCTTAGTCAAATGATATGATAGGAAACCAACAGATCTTTTCCTGTTCATTCTTACATTAAAGTTACAGCAAAGAGTTTTGTGGCAAAGGTACATTTTTACTTTGGGAACCAGAACTAGTTGAGGAACGACAGACAGTCAGAGGGAACATTTTCAAAATGGAAACAGACACAAAAAAGTGTGCACTGTATAAAACTCTAACACTGTTGTTATTGTTTTCCGTCTGCTACTATTCCATGGCAACAACATGCAACATACACTTTACAAATCTTAATACTCTACCACATTTCCCAGGATTTATAGTGTTTTTATAAAATTAGATTATGTGTATCACTCCCCCCCTTCCTCTTATGACTCCTTCTCAGCAGTTGGAGCTGGAAGTGGAAATCCTTCTACCAATGGCAAGAAACAACGACGCAGAGGCAAGAAGCATCGAAAAGGCAGAGTGGAGAAGGAACAGTAAGAGTCAAGTTGAACACGTGCACACACCTAATTATAGATCCTCTGAGCGAGTGAGAGAGGGAGAAACATGTGGTCCTTGGGCTCAGGTTCATTCTAATATAAATCGGTGATTCAGTCTTTGTTGGAGTAGTTCAAGTGTCTTGT